TATATATATATATATATATATATATATATATATATGTATATATATATATATATAGGTATCTAGCTAGCTAGCTATCTAGCTAGCTAGCTATATCTAGCTAGCTAGCTACATATGAAGTTTAGCCGTGGCAGTGGAAGCAAAAAGAAATAAAAAAACAAAACAAATCGAGTCGTCGCCCTGTATAGAGAGGAGGCGGTCTGCTGCTGCTGCTGCTGCTGCTGCTGCTGCTGCTGCAGCACGGGGGCAACTGCTGCTGCTGCTGCCACTGCTGCTGCCACTGCTGCTGCTGCTGCTGCTGCTGCTGCAGACCGTAAGACTGAAACAGAGAGGTAGAAGCAAACAAAAAAAATAAAAAGCGGATATTATACACCCCAAGGGGTTCTTCAGCTGTTGCACATTGCAGCTGCTGCAGCAGCTGCTGCAGCTGCTGCAGCTGGTGCTGTTGCTGCTGCAGCAGCTGCTGCACATTGCAGCTGCTGTTGCTGCTGCTGCAGCTGCTGCTGTTTTTTCCGTTCCTCCTGCTGCAGCAGCTGATGCTGCTGCTGAGCCAGCATTGGCACCAGCTGCTGCAGCAGCAACAGCAGCAGCAACTGCAGCAGCAGCAGCAGCAGCAGCAGCAGCAGCAATTTGTTATTTTATGTTTGACACTGTAATGCCTGCAGCATCCATTTCCTGCTGAGTTGTTTAATAATTTTTTTTTTAATTTTAATTTTTTTTGTTTTTGTTTTTTTCTTTTTTTTTTTATTTTTATTTTTTTGTGGTTTGCTGCTGCTGTTATTATTATTAGTATTCTTCTCACCTATTATACACACATCGCTGTCGCTCCCGCTGCTGCTGCTGCTGCTGCTGCTGCTGCTGCTGCTGCTGCTGCTGCTGCTGCAGCAGCAGCTATCGGAGTCTGATTCAACTGTAACGCACTCTTCTTCTTTTCTTCTTTTTTTTCTTTTAGGCCCCTCTGGTGAAGTTTTTATAATAAAAAAATTTCCTTGCTGCTGCTGCTGCTGCTGCTGCTGCTGCTGTTGCTGCTGCTGCTGTTGCAGCATTCTTTGTTTGGCTGCAGCAGCAGCAGCTTCTACCTGCTGCTGATGTATATCATTATTATTTTTTTTATTTTTATTATATAATAATAAATTGTTTTCTTCTCTTTGGTTTTTATTTGTTGGTAGTTCTCTTAGATACCACATATTTTGTTTTACTTCTGCATGCATAGCAGCAAAATCCCCTTTGCTGCTGCTGCTGCTGCTGCTGCTGCTGCTGCTGCTGCTGCTGCTGCTGCTGTTGTATCCAGCTTGCAGCAGATATTTCTTTCTTTGTTTCTCCTTTTTCTGCATTTCTTCTTCTTCTGCTGCAAAAAAATTTATATGATCTCTCCTTCCTTTTCTTTGTCCTAATGCATCAACTTTACCTTTCGGGTGTATAGGCAGCTGACGCGCCAGTACAGGCTGCTGCTGCTGCTGCTGCTGCTGCTGCTGCTGCGAACCAGCAGCAGACCATAAACCTTCAATTGCTATCACACCAGCGTCAAACATTGCTCCTGCTGCTGCACCTCGACTTGCTGCTGCTGCATCTTCTGCTGCTGCTGCTGAACCTGCTGCTGCTGCAGTAGCAGCAGAAGGTGCTGCTGCTGCTGCAGCTGCAGCAGCCCGATCTGCTGCTCCCCATACTCTTGAAGGGGGCCGCGAGGAGGAAGCACCAGAGACAACGTGTTGCTGCTGCTCAAATATAGAAGAAGAACCGCAAGCTGCTGCTGCTGCTGCTGCTGCTGGTGCTGCTGCTGCTGCTGCTGCTGCTGCTGCTGGAGTTTCTGCATCAAGTTTCCGCCGTTTAAACAAAACGAAAGCATCTGTCATTGCTGTTTTTTGCTGCTGCTGCCGGGATGCTTCTACTGCTGCTCTGAACTCTGCTTCATCGCGCAGCACCCGCAGCTTATTATCATCTCTATACACATGCCATCGTTTCTGGGGTAATATATTGAGGCCCCCATGGCCCCCCATCGTTGTATTGGCTCCAGCTGCGGTGTATACGCAGCTCTCAGGTGTACATGCACCTCAAGAAACCATGCGCACAAGCATCGGATACCGCTGACGCTGCTGCTGTTGCTGCTGCTGCTGCTGCTGCCGCTGCTGCTGCTGCTGTTGCAGTTATTGTGAGGATTTATGCTGGGGAAAGTGAAAAAGAACGAATGAATGCATTTGCTGCTGCTGCTGTCGATCAAGTGCCGCAATCAACGAGGCGGGCGGTGGGTGGCTGGGTGGTGTAGACGGTAACAAAGTCAGGGGAATCCTAGAGAATATAGAGAAATAAAAAGAAGAAAACAAAATAAAATAATAAATAAGGAGTTTTAATTTAAATAAAGAAAGCAAATACTAAGAAACGCACGAAACCTGAACAGGAAGCAGAACGGTTACTGCGGCTTTGCAGGTTCGTGGTTGTGCATCGATTAGGCGGTTTCTGCGGTGAATTGAATAAATTTGAGTATTTTTTTTAAATTATAATCATAAATAACAATAAATAAACATTTATATTCCAAGCTTACCGCAAAATTTATCCATATATAACCGAAGCTGCAGAAGGAAAGCTGAACAGATGGCGGCGAGAAGAGGGGGGCCCCGGGGCCCCCCTTGGGGCCCCAGCGATCTTCTGTTTCTATGAATTAAAATTATGAATTTTGATGGGTTTCAAGTTGTTTTGTTTTTATAAAATAAATTTATTTTATTTGCAAAAGAATGAAGTATAATATTTGTGTTCCGTTTGTATGGGTTTCGGTTTGTTTGTTTCAGCCCGCTCTGGGTTGAACGGCGTGGGTATATAATATATATATATAAGAGTTTAGAATGTTGTATGAAAGTATTTTTATGAATATATGAAAAGAAAAATAAAAATAAAAAAAATTTTTATAAAAAAAAAGAGAAATGTTTTTCTTGAATTTCGGTGAAAATGGTTGTTTCAACAAGTTTCATTCATCCTCAGAAAAAAAATTCAAATTCAAATTCAAATTCAAATTCTGAGGTGTCTATACACCTCAGTTCACCTCTTTGTGTAGTTTGTCAGTTTCTTCGTGGTTCTATTGCTGGCACTTTTGCTAAAACTATTGTTTATCCTCTTGATAGATTGAAGATGACCCTTCAGGTATTCATATTCTCCTGCTGCTCCTGCTGCTGCTGCTGCTGCTGCTGCTGTTGCTGCTGCTGCTGCTGCTGCTGCTGCTGCTGCTGCAGCAGC